TCATCAGTTTCTGGATCGGGCAACCATTTGGCAACGGCCCATTCCAGCCACGTGAAAGCGAGATTTGGGAGGTAGAAGAAGCGACCGACAGCGACAAACGCGTCCACGAATGCGCTCACGCTGAGTACTGGACCGCGTTCGCTGACCCCATCGTAATTCTCCCGGAACAGGTGCGTAGATACTGCGTCCACAGCCAAGCTTCGCGTCAAGTTGAGCACATTGACAGGCCGCTTTGTCATGGCTTCGTCCCTCAATCGCTCCACCATACGATCGACGCATCCCCAAATTGCTCTCTCATTTTCCCTTAATGCTTTTGTTGAGAACAGCGGGACCACAGCTTTCGCTCTTGGGCTCCTGTAGTCCGTGTCGATGGTGGAGAAAATAGTCTTGTGGCCATCAATGTCGAAATTTGCGTAGCACGCCGCTTTCGGAAAGCCTCCTTTCGATACGTAGATTGCGGGTATAGCATCCGCGTCGCTTATATCGACTTCGTTCGGTGAGACTCGGACATACGGGCCGTATTGTTCGTGGAGTTTGTGAATCGTGCTTGCTTCGTCTCCGATGTAGGCGTGGTAGTGAAGGAAAATGCTGGTCAGCTTAGGTAATACGGGTCCAGGGATGTGGGATAGAGGATGGAAGTAGATGCGATATACTGAACGGATCAATACAAGCAGGAAAGGCGTGAAGAACAAGGCTGTTATGGGATGAGCCGCTATCACGCCAACAACGAGGCTTTGAAGCGCCATCGGAACTTCGAACAGCTGAACGGCTACATTGACGATCTGGCAGTCGTCGTGTCTTTTATGTGAGTCGTGGTTGGTTGAGTCACCGTAGCGTTAGTGGGGTGCTATCAACGGCGATCATGGAGATAAGGCGTCATCCACTCCCACTTTGGACTCTCCTTGACATTGCAGAAACTAGGACGCATTATACATTATTGCTCTAGGTAAATACATGTAGTCTAAGTTCCCCTCATTATTACTCATTTTCGTTCCCTTTGATGGTGCCGGCGCGATCAACCCGCGAAACCCGCTAACAGCAAGCACATCAAACAATGTCCCCTCTTCTTCTACCTGGCCATCTAACTCAAATCACTGGCCCTACCATCCTTGGTCGAAGGCGTCAACTCCACGTCCGCTGTATCATCAGCCATCGCACCCTTCTTCGACCTCCTCCACTGATGCACAGCAATGCAACTCAGCAGGGCCATTCCCGCATGTAAAAGGCCCAGTAACCCCTGGAATCCCACCTCAGCGTATCCAAGGCTATCCCAATACGACTTGTTGTAAGTGTTGCTCTCATCGTTGTAGATGATGAGCGTGTGTAGAAAGCAGATGGCCCCATAAAGACACACCATGACCAAAGATACAGTGAGAGTAAGGATGGGATGAAACAAATTTGGTACGGAGGCTGAAGAGGGTATAGCCACGAGGCTGAAGAGGGTGTAAACGGTATCTGGGATCATTGCGAACCCTGTGCGGAAGAACCAATCATTTCTAGATACCCAGTTAGTATGCGCTTTGTTCGATCGGTGTGGCTCTTGAAACGATCGTAAGTGGGAAGACCATGTGCTGTGACTTACGCATAGCTTTGCCAACGGGGGTCGTTGTCGCGATCGTTAAATCCGTACTTGAAGGAAGCATTGTGGGATATGACGATGATGATAAAGACAAAAAGAATAAATGCCTTTACGAGAAAGACATCGTGATGGAAGCGTTGAGGTCCTTGCCAAAGTGGACTTTTAGGACGAGTGAAAGATGCTAGGACGCCCATGTTTAGAGGTACTTTGGTAACGCGTAGCTGAAGCTGTGGAAGGATCTCGGGAAAGCAATATATCAATACTAAAAAAATGAGATGCGAGGTTGAGTAGATGTCTTCTCACTATAAGTACCTCTACGTAGCAAGGCGCAAAAGAGAAAGTTGATCAACACATGGGTCGCCTTATCGTGGCGCGTACCTTCAACGCAGGTCCCGTATCTGTGCACTTGACGTCTCAGCCTGATGATCACCCCGCAATTCCTCGACTATTTCGAAGATCGACTCAAGGGGAAAATAGCTGGGTTTTGTTGGTTGGTGTCAAACACAGCCTACCATGCCAAGTTCGGGCTGTGTTGCCGGTCAAGCATAGGTAGGTACCGTAAGCGAGGCGCGCCACTAGAGGAAGATGTGTGAAGCTAGCTCGTGTACGCAATACAAAAGAATTACGCAATCATCGAAACTACTTTCGCAAGGTGAAACTGAAACGAGGGGTTATTCGTGATATTGAATGCTCGATTGGAGCAACAGCCTACGGGCCGATATGCGGCATTTCATGCAACATTCTGGCCTGAAAAACCCCATATACGTCCACTTCAACACCACGACATGGTGGTGACAGATCCAGTGATGATGTGCACCGTTGATGGCATCCAGCTTGTCTCAGAGATGAGAAGCCTAGTTTTCAAGATGAACACCTAAACATGCGTTAGCCCGGAGATCAAACTCGCGATTGCACAAATGGCTTACTATCAACATTGTTGTTGTAGATCATGTTGGTGTTGTTGTTCTTGAGGTAGCAGTTCTGGTCAAACCAAGTAACGGCAACGCATCCTGTGGTAACAGAACACACGTCCACACACTTGGTCATGGACTCGGTTGACTTGTAGGCGATGTCGCCACCATAGTAGTCCCAGTTGCACTGTGCAATGAACGGCTTCTGGTTCGCAGTGGTGTACCTGCACTTGTCATCGGTAGGGCAGTCGATGACGTCGGTGCATGTCGAGGAGCCAGGCGCGGGCTCTGCGATGGTCGGGCCCTTGAGCTGATTGCCGGTGGACACGTTGGTTCTGCAGGATGAGTTGGAAAGTTGTTGGAAATAGATGGACGTGTTAGAGACAAACTTACGCTGGCCGGGCAGTACCCTTGGGGTTGCCCAGAAGGTAGCAGAAACTTCCCTTCATGTTGAATGCGACGCAATCCTTGTGTCGAGAGCAAGCATCTGCGCAGTCGACGAATACATCGGCCTTTGAAGGTGTGAATAGTATTCTAGTCTTCCTCGGGATTGCAACGTACCTGGGCAGAGTCGATGATGGGGCCGTTGTAGTCAGTCGCACAGGTGAGCTGGAATACAGCACCGTTGGTGGACGTAGATACGCAACCGTTCCAGCGAGGGCATGTAGGTATAGCGGGGCAGTTTCGCATCTGGCGCGGAACCAGTGCAGAAAGTGCAGCCGTCGAAGCGATGAGTGTATAGTGCTGTGGCATGGTCAGTATAGCTCATGGAATCGCGCATGTAGCCCCGAAATCGCTGCTTGGATACATATCCTGTATTGCGGCTTGTCCAGGAGTGTTGAAACTCTGATTTGAACGGAAGATATGCGGCATGGCTACAGAACTGGACAATTGTGACTTACCATCTTGAATGGTGGTGAGGGTTGGAAGGAATGAATGAGTGAGTATGAGCCGGAAGAGAAAAGGGTGGGATGAAGAGATATGGGCTACGGAGAAGCCTCAGACTGTATCTGTCTTGCGGTTGAAGCTAATAGTGATGCGGGCTTCGTGACGAAGAGTGTGGGGTATTTGGAACTGATACCATGGTCCGGTGTCGCCTACAGCAAATGACAGGTCTTCGGATGTGAGCGATAACAACGACCAGACCCTGACATGTTCTTGTGATCGTAAAAGCTTATATTCTCCAATCAACGAACCTCGTGGGCCTCCACCACACCCCAGGCACATGAGCCTAGACGCGATGTATCCTTATAATTGCAACCGTGCAGCCAGCTGCACTCATATCTTCTCCACCGGCTCTCCAAGAATCCACGTGCCGTTGCCAGATAATGTACCTGGCCTGGTATAATCCAAAGTTCTCCCATCTCTTACATAAGCCCACCGAAAGTACTCGTTGATTCCACTATCAAGTGGTCTGCGCCACTCAAAAGAAGCTCCACCTAGCCCATCATCGTAGAACGCGCGGTCCCGCTCAACATCATTTACTAAGACACTTATGCCGTCAATTCCGACCGGGTGTACTTCATACCGAAATGTCGCGACCAGCGCCTCGGTACCAAAGTTGACGGTGGCGTCCGCTATCTTGGGAACCACGGAGTTAAACTTCGCATCAGCGCGAAGTGCAGCAGAAGTCTGCAAGACAGAGTCAAAGTCCCAGCGCGCTATTCCATTGACGAAAAGACCCAACAGAATGCCTTGGTACAGTAGAGACGGTCGTGTTTGCAAACTCGTGCCCGGCAGCAACAATATCGCGAGGATGTAGTGGTGGATCCTTAGATTTACGCCTGGGATAGTCAAGCAGACAATGATTCCAAGAATGAAAAGTCCAAACAAGCCGAGGTAGCGGAGCAGGCGGCCTTCGAGCCAGAAGAAATATACTTGCCCTACAATGATGACCACCAGCACCAGAACGATGATTGCCAAGGCTAGCTTTGCCCCGGGTTGTTGTTCCAGATCGTGCGAGGTAAGTCGAGATATCGGTATCCAATCAAAAGTATAATTTGAAAGTGCGCCAATCCAGAAACCGGAAAGCCAGAAAAGTGCTTTCTCAAAATGAGCAGTCATCCCAAGTAATGACCTCTTCACGGTAGTGGAGTATATGACAACGGCCACGAACATTGCCGGTAAAAGTCGCTTCGCGAACATGGACAGATGATCCGGAAGAACAGTAGTGTTTCGGGAAGACGCTGACGGTGGGTCGGAAACAAAGCTCACGTGGGCAAAAATAAGGCTGAAGATCGCAAAGAAGATCTTGGGTGACGTGGTGAAGATAGCAAGCGCAGCAGTGACGAGGAGTGAAACAGGAAGCAAGGCTGACCGAGGGTCGGAAGCGGAGTGGAAGCTATCGTCATAGCCTACGGAAAAGGCAAGCGGGAAGTACGAATCGAAAGGCAAGGATTCGATGCCGTGTCGCTTAGTACTGGCGAAACTGTCATGCTCACCAACGAGAGTAATCCGGCCAGAGCCTACAAGAATGAAGATAACATGTCAGTATATGTCTTACACACAGTTCATACGGGCAGTTCCTTACCACCTTTCCGGCCATCCACAATGCCAGCATGGATCGCGGATCCGCAGATGAAACTGTCTCCACGGTAAAATCCCGTACCGATGACAAGCGGTCGGTAGTTTACTTCGAGAGGTCCAACAATGTGCGGATTCAAGATCTGCACGTCGCCGCACTTCGCTGGACACCGGAAGGCGAATGAATGGTTGCTGAAAGGGCGGCAATCGATCCCATCGATTCCGCATTCGTTCTTTCGTTTCCAGAGCGTGTCTACGCAATCGAGGTTGATCACGCTATTGCCATCCCCATCGCGAAGCGGTAATTGTGCAGTGAGAAACCACACAAATATAACAAGCCATAGCAGTAGCACAGCAAAGAGCCAGATGGGTTTATTGAACCCGTGTGCTTCCGTCCATTGGGCCGGATACGCTTGGATGGCTGGGAAGACTGGCTGAATGGACTGGATGCGAGGTGGCTCTGGACCGCGCAAGAAGCGAAGGAAAGTACGTCGGCCACTACGCGCAGGCAACGCGTTGTCTTCGAAGTCCATCTCTTCTCTTGTCAACAGATGGGCTTCTTCGTCCCTGTCAGCGGCTCCAGTAAGAGGGTGGCTCGCGTCATCTTCAACGTCATTGTCGTTCGGACCGCTTTGTAACGAGACGCACATGGTCAGCTGCAGCAAGTTGAACATGCATGAGAAATGTAGTCATTGACAATAGACATTGTGGTCTGAGATGAAACATGTTGAATGATCAACAGCGCCATTTTCTCAAGGCGCCTTATCGATAACATATCTCACTCAGTGCCATCTGGTGTCGGGCACCCTTGTCTTTTGGAGAGAAAGTTGAATGACTTTGCAGTGCATGGTCTTATCTCGCGTCGTTACTGCTTCTGGTGACCTCATTGTATTCAGCTACTGTCACACAGCTGACCTAACATGGGAGGCACGTCGTACACCTTTGGTTAGCCTCTTAGGAACAACCACCTCATCATCACGTCTACGATCATCGCCCTTGCACCAAAAATGTCAGTTATAATCAGACGCTAAAGGTATAAGCTGCGTTTCCTGTTATGCTGTTGTAATAGGTCTATGCCATGGGCAGAGGTATGATGCCAGGCATACCTCCGCCACGAGCACAGGCCAAGACCCTTAGATGCCGCTGGTTCTACAGAAGGCCGAACATTTGCCAAATACAACACTCGACGTGCGCACGCGTCGACGACTCTACTCACTGATCAAGCAACCAATTGCTCGCCATTATGGACGCGCTACAATCCTATCTTCCTCAAGCGGAAGGCTTACTGCCCAAATGGCTTCTATTTGTATGTCCTGTTCTCCGCGCTTGCGATTGTCATTTCCATGCAGTCTCTCATCGTAACACAAACTAACAATTCTTACAGGTCGCCATAGTCTCTGTTGGCAACAGCCTGCAATGCTACGCCACGCTCTCCTTCACTTCGCGCGTCTACAACCCTACAGCAATTGATCCGCCTCCTACCACGCCGAAACACGTAACCGCTCTCTCGTCGCGCACATTCGGAACATGGACTTTCTTGACGGGCATGGTTCGACTTTACGCCGCATACAACATCAACAATCCAAGCTTCTATCAATTGGCTTTGTGGACTTATGCTATAGCCTGGGGACACTTCATGAGTGAATGGTTTGTGTATGGAACTACAAGATGGGGCAAACCATTGGCTGGACCGGTGATAGTCGCAACTTCAAGTTTGATCTGGATGTGGATGCAGTGGGATTTCTACGTCAAGGCCTAGCGTGGGGGGCTGGGAAATGTCGGGGATCGAAATAGAGGTAGTGATGTAATGTTAATGTGTACAGAGACGCGTTCATGCGTTGATCTTTCTCGCGACTTGAACCAAGAACATGTCATAGTGCAGGAAGACGTGATGTGATGCAGACACTAATCGCCAGGGTTCCCAATGCAAAGACATGTACCAAGATCCATCACGCTGCAGCATGAACAACAATGGACTTTTGACCCGCCTCGGGGCTTGTTTGACCACTCGAGGACTTTCATTGATCGTAGCTGAAGAAACATACATGGCCCATGGGACTCCGATACCTCAATCCTTGATGCCGAATTTTGACGACTATATTGAAAGCCGTCACACTCCGCCTCAACCAAGTTTCTTTCCGTTGCTGATCATGAACCGTTACACCATCCCTTTTCTATGCACTTAGAACTTGTTGAACTGCTTAGCAGCCTTTCCCTTTCGGGGGAGGACACGGAGGACGTTGAAGCGGACGGTCTTGGAGAGGGGCCTGCACTGGCCAACGACGACCTGGTCACCGGGCTCGACACGGAAAGCGGGGGAGACGTGTGCGGCGAGGTTCTTGTGGCGCTTCTCGTAACGGGAGTACTTGGGGATGAAGTGAAGGTATTCACGGCGGATGATCAAGGTGCCTGTAATTCGTTAGTTCTTGCTGCCCATTTCTTTCTGATATTTCTGTTGCGGCCTGGTGTACGCGCTCCGAGAATTGGGCTAACACGTACGGTGCATCTTGGTGGACATGACAGTTCCGGTAAGGATACGGCCACGGATGGAGACCATGCCGGTGAATGGGCACTTCTTGTCGATGTAGGTACCCTCAATGGCGGTCTTGGGCGTACGGAAGCCCAGACCAACGTCCTTGTACCATCTCCTGGCGCGGGTGTTCTTGCGGGGTCCGCCGACCTTGTGGTTGAGGAAGATGTGAGGCTATCGCATCGCATTAGTATCGGACGTGCTGGGGGCTCGCGAAATGGGCGTGTAGTACCTGCTTCTGGAAAGCGCGCTCCGACTGGACACTATTTCGCAATCAGTATTTGTCGAGAGTATTCGCAGTATCGCACAACGTACGTGAGTTCGGTCGCCATGGTTGCGGGTCGGGTGGTATTGTCGAGCTTTCGGTGTTGCTCTAGGATCGCAATATTCGATCGCTTGTGTGGAGAAAGGTTCCTCCGGTGCCGAGGACTAGCGCGACCCTAGTGGCCAGCCTCGGCAGGGCCCAGAGCGAAGCCGCGAGATTGTCGCGAGGGCTAACGGAGCATGCGAACTTCAATGCTGCATCCGCTTGCAACTGCTCCTTAGCTTTACCAACCCAATCTCTGGCCGCTCCCATATTTGCTCTCCATGGCAGGCATACTCGAGCCGTTCGGTGTTCACATCGACGCAAGCAACTCGTTCGTGCAGGCTGCTGTCTATGGCTTCCTGCTCGTAGGCGTTGCATCTTTCGCAGCACCTGTCATTAGCACTATTCGAGTTCTTCTCAGCTTGTTTGTACTGCCAGGTAAATCTGTATGCCCCTCCAAGCATTCTTGACTCCTCCCGGATATCTCTAACCCCCACCAGCTCAGCACATTCGGACCCCGCGGCACCTGGGCCCTCATAACTGGTGCCTCTGACGGCATTGGCAAGGAGTTCGCCCTCTCCCTCGCGGCCAAGGGTTACAACCTCATCCTCGTTTCGCGTACGCAATCGAAGCTCGACTCCCTCTCCGCCGACATCACGTCCAAGTATGGCCCTAAGATCGCCGTCAAGACGCTGGCTATGGACTTTGCGCAGAACAAAGATGCCGACTACAACAATATGAAGAAGCTCATTGACGGTCTCGACGTCAGCATACTAGTCAACAATGTTGGCTTGAGCCACAGCATTCCAGTACCATTCGTCGAGACACCCAAGCAGGAGATGAACGACATCATCATGATCAACTGCATGGCTACTCTCCGTGTCACACAGCTCGTCACCCCCGGGATGGTGTCTCGCAAGCGTGGACTCGTCCTCACCATGGCCTCCTTTGGCGGCTTCTTCCCTACACCTCTCCTCGCGACCTACTCCGGCAGCAAGGCTTTCCTACAACAATGGTCCACCGCGCTGGCTTCCGAACTCGAGCCCCACGGCGTATACGTCCAATGTGTCCAGTCTCACCTCGTCACCACGGCCATGTCCAAGATCCGCAAGACGTCTGCACTCGTTCCGAACCCCAAGCAATTCGTAAACGCTACACTAAGCAAGATTGGAAGGAGTGGAGGTGCACAAGGCGTAGCTTTCACGAGCACACCGTACTGGAGCCACGGACTCATGCACTGGTTCCTTTCGCGCTTCTTGGGTGAGCGCTCGGATACTGTTGTCAAGGTGAACAGGGGCATGCACGAGAGCATCCGGAAGCGTGCCCTGCGAAAGGCTGAGAGGGACGCTAAGAAGCAGTAAGCTATCCGCTTGGTGGACCTGTCTTCTGAACCACATAACGAGTCAACTCGGATCTCAACCACGTGAGACGCTGCGGAGCAGCATGGGAGTGGGTGCTTTCGTCGAGCTCCACTGCACATCGACGCAATGTCTAAATGCGCAAGGGAATAACTTTTTCGCGATCTATCAACATGTATAGAGACAAATTTCTGGGATCAAGATTCACACAGAATAAGCATTTAACTAAGACCCCTGCGCCGTGCTATAGCAACAAGGATATCACTACATAGCTTTCTCCATACTAATGAAGAGGATATTCCGCCAACTTAATTCATATAGTCATAGGAAATTTGCAACGATGCCAAGCATGTTGTTCAAGGATCACGTTCAGTGCCCTTCAACTTTTTGCTTCTGACAACACGTTTTTAAGACGACTTGCCGTAGGCCTGGTCGACTTCCTTCTGGTACTGCTTCAAGATACCTTTGCGGTTGAGCTTCTGTGCGGCAGTGGTGAGGCCCTGTTGTGATGTCAGCACTCTGTAGACTTTCTTCCATGTTACAACCTTGGAAAGGTACTTACGTTTTGTGGTGTCCACTCCTCGTCTGCTAGCACAACACCCTCAATCATCTCGAATCCAGCCAGACCGCCCTTTTGGCCAGCCTGCTGCAATTGCTTGAGCACAGCAGAATTGATCTTCTTGTCGTGAACAAGTTCCTCGAGGTGATCACCCTGGACACCCTCCGCGGCGGCAATCTTCTTCAGTTGCGGTTCGGTGGGCACGATGATCGCGACAGGCTTCTGGCGATCTTCTGCAGCGTAAACGCAGATGTTTGCGACAATGGGTGCGGAGCGGTAGACAGACTCGAGCTTCTCGAGCGCAATGTACTCTCCAGCAAGTGTCTTAACCAAGTTCTTCTTGCGGTCAATGATGCGGACTTCACCGTTGGCGTTGAACTCTCCAACGTCACCAGTCTTGAACCATCCGTCGTCGGTGAAGGCCTCCTTGGTCTCCTCGGGCATGTCCAGGTAACCGTCTACTACACCACCGCCACGGATCCAGATTTCTCCCTGAGGCGGGTTGTTGGTGGAGAAGTAGCCGGCATCCGCGAAGTCGACAAGCTTCATCTCGATTGAAGCAGGCATCTCGCCGAGGGCGTGCTCGTTCCAGGCCAAGGGGTCCATAAGTGCACCCATGGCGCAGGTTTCGGTCAGACCGTATCCGCTGATCATGGGTGTAATGGCAATGGAGATGAAGCGCTGCGTCTCCTTTGAGATGGGTCCACCACCGTTCAAGCAGATTCGAAGTCTACCTCCGGTGGCTTCCTTGACCTTGTTGAAGACAATGGCATCGAGAATACCACTACCTGGCAGGCCAGAACCAAGGAGGAAGCCCTTGGCGGCGAACGCTCCCCAGAACATGTTGCTCTTAACAGCGCCTCCCGCCTCAACCTTGTTGACGATGCCCTTCTTGA